CATAATATGATTCTATTTACACAGTATATACATGATTTTCAAAATGAAGTTGTAAAGTATAATGGCTTGGATAATAAGAAATGTTTTGATACTTTGAAAGCTAAATGAAGAGCTTGTTGTTATAATGAAGATGTTTTTATCAATATTCATATTCATCTCAAACACTTCAAGTAAAGTAGATACAACAAATTGCATGTAAGAGCATGAGGTCCTTTTCGAACGAGTAAATCAATTTAATACTTGTGTTTTAGATTTACCTCGCAATATATTTGTAAGTCTTATATTAAACACGAATTACTAATGAACATTTGAACCTCAAAAATTATATGTTGATTCATTCACAAGAGAGATTGTCATTACAACTACAACTTCGACAAACTCGATCATTCAGTAGGAATGATCGAGCTTATCGAAGTTGTAGTTGCACTGCGCCTGATCATTAGGATGATACATTGCTTATAACATTCCGAAGGATAGTCCTCTGCATCCAAGAGGAAACGATAAAGAATCTTCTGGAATAGTTGACTATTTAGCTAAATAGCGCACAGAAGACTAGTTTCTCATAGGACAATCACAATAAGTTAAACCAAACTATAAAAGAGCTTAATTAGGCTTATTTTAAGGAATTTTAAATCTCTTATCAATTTAGGCTGAATTTTACTTTATTTCATTAATTTTATTTTTTATTTTAGTAGATTATATGTAATTAAAATAAGGACAATCTCATTTTTTAGTTAATATGGAGAATTGCTTATGTGGACATTCAGAATCAGTTGATTGATGAATGAAATTGATTGTTTCTTTCACATTGATTGAAGTTGTGTATGCGGGTCACTACAAATTGTGTACACAAAGTTTCTCCCTCCTATCCTCTCCAAGTTGTGTTGCGGAGCTTCCTTCACCTCTATATCTACTTTTCCCTTTCTCCTTTTTCAATTATTTATAGCATTTGCTTCATCAATTTCAAATCAAAACATCATTCATCACTCCATATCACTTCTTATCAAAGCATAACTATCTACATCAAATATTGTAAGTGGGGGACAAGTTGGAGGAAAAGATAGCCTACTAAACTAATTACAAGGTTCAACTTGAAATGCTTTCATAAGGATCCCAAATGAAATAAGAGACACCTGCTTTAGTTATCATTTTATCCACCGTAAATTTTACCAACTACCCACCTTATTGAAAGTTCGTTAGGGTTGTTAAGCACTTATGAACTAACCCGAGACTAATTAAGAGGGGGTGAATTTGTGTTTTAAAAATTCTTAAACAAAAGGCAATATCTTTTTGAAAATCTTTTTTTGAATATTTAAAAAAAAAAAAAAACACGATCAACCTATGATGCAGAAGCGATTAATAAAATTATAAAACAAACCAAAGATTTTAACCATACAATCAACCACAAAAAATTAAGGTACGGAAATTAAAATGCGAAAAAATAATAAGAAAGGACACACCATAATTTATAGTGGTTCGGTCAACCTACCATAGGTCCAATTCTCGTAGGCACCCTCCGAGTATTACACTAATAACTATAGTGTCTCTCATTTTGCTCCCACAGCAAGGTGGAGAAGCTCTTACAAAATCCTTTTCACCGACCCCGGTGAGGCAGAGCACCCCAACTCCTTTTGCTTCCTCCTGAAGAAGACATAGAACCTTGATATAATGCTGACGAAGACCTCCCAAGAGCCACCAAGGAGCCAAGGACGACGATTGGAGAAGACGACTTGAATCCTTACTTGGAGCAACCTATGTGAACACCTCACAAAGTCCCCCTCAAAAGATTCTCTCTCTCTCCCAAGCTCTCCTTCTCTTTCTCTAAGCTCTCTTAGGTCAGGACAACAGCAAAAGATATTTCCATCAACAATTGACAGAGCTTAAATAGTAGGCCTTAAAAAACGCCCTAATTTTCAACTTGTCGTCAAAGATCGTCCAGGACGATCGACATATCATCCTGTACGATTAGTTTAAATCAACACTTCCAACCAGGACGATCTGAGTTTGTTGTACGATTAGAACATAATATTTGTTCTGATCGTCCAGGATGATTTGGGCATCGTCCCGTACGAATAGTTCAAAATCATAAATTATCGTCCAGCAGATAGTTCAGGACGTCCAGGAGTTAAAGAGGGACGATATAGAAATATAACTAATCGTCCTGGACGATGCTTGGATCGCCCTATACAATTAGTTCAAAATCAGTGATTATCGTCCAGCAGATAGTTTGGGACATCCAGGAGATTCAGGAGAAGACTAAGATTTTTCTTACTGATCGTCCAAGACAATCCTACAATCGTCCAGAACGATATGATCGATCAATTTAACCTTAATTACTTTCCTTAATCACCTGATCAATTTAGGAATGATTGATACAAATCGTTATGTACGATTACTACAATTTTGAGAGATTAAAATCTTGTCTAAATGAGTTTGGCGGCTGATTTTTGTGATTTGAGAAATATCCTCCATGACGATGGGAATATTGTCTAGGACAATTTGCTTATGCAAGTTTACATGACCCAGATGTCCTAATTAGGATTTTTATTTTTAACTGATCGTCTTGTACGATATGATCAAAAAAAAACTCTAACTCACTAAATTTCTTCCCCTAAGTGTGTGTGTGCAAGATTATTTAGCTTCAGGATCCATCAAAGTACATTTGACTCAAGAAAAGATAAAAGATGCATTCAAATAGAAATTACAAACTGACTCAATCCTAATCTACCTGATCTTGATCTTATCGACGTTCCAAGTGAACTTGTGGACCTGAAAGGTTAGTGAGCTGGGCACATAAAACATATATGCAAGAATGGCAATAGTCAAGAAACAATAATATTTATTATCATTAAAATCACAGTACTTTGGTCTAGATCTACAACACTTATGTTTATGTCAACATTTTATATTCTTTACTTAATAAATTTAAGATAAATGGTTCAATCATCATACAAATTACAAAAAGTAACTTAGCATATTCACAATAAAATCATTCCATACATGGCTTCCATCAACATCCCTTCATTAGTTAAGGGAAGAATCAACAACAGTTTAATATTTTAGGAGTATCTCAAGAAAATTGGATTGATTTAAGCAACTAAAAATTGTTTAACGGCAAAACCTACAAGCCCCAGAAACCCTTTTTATCCCAATTTTACCAAGTGTAGGGACATGGGATTGGGGACGCAAAGAAGATCAAATCAACTTAATCATAACCATGACAAAAAGCTTATAAGCATTGTGCCTATCAACAAATGGAGTGATGTTGCTAATGCTTTTAATTATTCTACTAAACGGATAATTTAATTGTATCAACTATAATAAGGTTATAAATAAACTAAAATTTAGAAAACACAATTTTTATTTCTAAAAATATTACATTAATACAAAATTGAATAAGAAAATTCACTAAAATGCAAAAGTATTCCTATCATGGTATTTCGAAACTTCGTAGATAGATACATAAGCAAGGGAAGATCTAGACAACGAGACAATGGCATAACTTGATGTACAAAAGTATTGGGGAAGGTGTAAAACCCGAAAAATAACGATCTTTAGCGTCACACGCATTTTGATGCGCCGCGACAAAATTAGTCAAAATTTCAAAGTCGTCGAAATTCGACGCAATAAATTTCATAAAATAGTATGCAAAATTCTGAGTGAATTGGTCTAAAGAACCAATATTGAATTTCGCATATTTTGGAAGTTAAAATTCGTAGAAGTTTTTATACGACAAGATTGCCCTTAATGTAATTTAAGTGGAGATAACTTAAGTGAGGGCGTTTTGGAAACGAGTCTTCCACTCTTATTAGGGGACCGAAATATTTCAAAAAGAATTGTTTTCATGGTTTTGGAAAGCCCTAAATCTTGAAACATAAAAAATTTCTTCTTAAAATTTAACTAACTTCACATAGAAGCTCTATAACGTCATTAGGAAACTTTCCTACAAAGCCATTTTGAAATAATACGAAAATCGGAGAAAACCCTAATTTTTAAAATCTATTTTTTTTTTCAAGGAATCATCTCATTTTTGTGTTTAGAAACATCCTCTAAACATTCTCTATCCTTATCTTAAAGATATTTTGAGTTTTCATAAAACCCTATATTTCCCCCCATAGAGAAAACTCCATAAAGAATGAGAAAACTCTTATAAACAACATACATTAACCTCCTCTTAGTCTTCTCCACAAATTCCTCCATGATCGGCCGCCGGAAAGTCACTGCCGAGGAGCCACCGTTCGCCTCACCCGCAGCCCTCTCTCCTTCCGTTCGGTTCAGGCCACATGAAGGGAATGGGACCGAAATATTTCGGTCCCCTAATAAGAGTGGAAGGCTCTCCCTAATTGCACAAAGTCTAAAAAGCCCTCACTTAAGTTATCTACACTTAAATGACATCAAGGGCAATCTTGTCATATAAAAACTTCTATGAATTTTAACTTCTAAAATACGCGAAATTCAATATGGGTTCTTCATAACGATTCGCTCAAAATTTTGCGTACTTTTATGAAATTTATTGCGTCGAATTCCGACGATTTTAAAATTTTGACTAATTTCGTCGCGTCGCATCGAAATGCGTGCGACGCTGAAGATCGTTATTTTTCGGGTTTTACATAATTAATATCCTAAGCTGATTCAAGTATAAATTCTGCTAAAAATATATTGCATTGTTGTATCGAACACGTTAGAAAGGCATTAGAGACGCTTTGCTTTCAAAAACATAGACTCGTAAGGTTATTGTCAGGAAGCCATTTCTGCCCATGTTCTGGTAAGTTTTCAACCAAGAAGTTCAAAAACATTTCCCCAAGTTATGATCTAACTTGCATAACAATTGGTACTTTATCATATAAGAAGAAAAAGTCATTAGCAATGTACTTCCACATAAAAGTTAATTTAACCTCAAAAAGCACAAGAACAAAAAAGTGATTTTTTTTCTTAATATAAGAATGCTCACAATGACAAAAAACAGAACATAACTGTCTCAATATATAGCATATTCTTACCTAATGCTGGAGGTCTTGAAGCAAAGTGTAGTGAACCTAATGTGTTAGATTCTGATAATGCAAGCAATGCCATGCGCCCTATAGGATCCCAAGCAGCACCCTATCAAGAAATACAAGATCTGCATTAACTTGTCATAATTATGAATACAACCAGCAATACTGCAGATTGCAAGAAAAACATGCAGTCAGAAAAAGATCGCTGATTACATATATTCAATAAAACATGGACCTTAAAACATACATGTATTTTTAAGAAAATTATTACAAAACAAAATCTGAAGATTCAAATTAGTATTAAAGGATCAGACTAAAAGAGAAATGATAGACTTAAATAGCATGATCAGAATTGGTTTAAATTGATTTGCTTAAAATAGATTTAACATCTAAGGCAGCACACAACAAAAATGAATGTAAAAGGAGAATTAAAAAAGCCGACCCCAAATAATTGGAATAAGAATTCTAGTGATGATGATGATGATGATCTTAGCCAACTTTTTTCAAGGCCACATATGGACCTAACTCACCGTGATATACCCACCAGTTGAAGACCAACGCTCTGATGTCCATGTATTAGTCTCCCAGATATAGAATGTTCCATCACTATTAGTCAACAGTGGAATTGAAATTCTAAGCCAAATTATCCAAAGCCAAAATTGCATCACGAATTAGCATCAGCATTTAAAACAATATTGCACATGCCTCATAGTAGTTAGAAGATAATCTCCAGTTGGTGACCACTTTAAAATAGATATGGCACCTAATCCTCGTCGAACTGGTGTTCCTGCACCTGTAAATTAAAATTGGATTTTTCAAAGGTGAAACAAGTATTGAAAATAAGTTAGAATAGTCTGAAACAAGGAAAAGGGAATTCATAAATGCATAGTCAGGATGATACACATGTATTAATATTTCAAATATTGCAAGTTTCCACCTATTAAATTTGATAAACACCACAATATCATTTCCTTGGAAGTTGTGCCTGATCTAATATGCCATTTAGAGGATGTACACTAAAACCCTTTTAACATGAACTCAGTTAATTCAATGGGTATAGCTTCAAAACAAGTAAAAATCCCCCAACCCAATCCTAGCATGGATCATGGGCCTGACTTACTCACCCAACACCTCAAAACATACTTTTAATTTCTTTCATTTCTTTCATATATATCTGAATAATGTTGTTGATGATGATCATGTGTGCCAAAGGTTAGTTGCACTGGTGGATGGTGCGCACAGTCATCGCTGGCCCTAGACTTCCGCTACATGCAAAGCCAAGCAAAGATCTGAACTGTCCTGAGGGTAGTTCTATGGAAGAACACTCCAAGGTGTAAATAAACTGTTTAGTTAGCATAGAACAGAAGTTTGGAATTTTTTAGAACTTTTTTTGAAAGGAATAAAAATGAGAGTACGAAAAAGAGGGAAATAAAAACAAATGGATTCATTTAGGTTATCAAGACTTGTTTCCTTGCCCCCAAACAAGGGCATGAAGCTAGGCCACGTTGTCTTTGAAGTTTTGGTGAACACAGATGCTTATAAGCCAAGGGAAACTAGGTAATTTGACAGATCGATGGATATAAACTTATATGCCCTTGGTTGACAGCAGATTAACATAAGTAGGCTAAGGGTTATGGGCACAATGCTGATGATGATATGGTCATCCATCATGGTTTGTGTAATCAAACAAGGAGAGGCGTCAAGATTCGTATCAATGATTAGATTATTGGATAAGGTCAACTGTCACTGACGAATAAATTGACATAAATCATGGAGGATGAAAATTGGACAATTGTGTGGTAGACAGGATTTAATGTGAAATCTTGATGCAAACGATTGGATGGCTCAAATGGTATCAGTTGATCAGATCTAGCACTTATCTTGATGCATAAGGCTAGATGTTTGAATCTCCATTACTTTAATCTTGCCTTGCAAAAATATTGAGGTAACCAAATGATATTATGAGATTTGTTAATAATATGAACTTTGCAGAAATCTTGGCATTGAATGACCAATCTAACATGCATGAAATATGTAAAAATTATGAACTTGAACGAATCTTGACACTGAATAACCAATCTAGCATCGATCTCAATGCATCATGAAGGGCTGCTTTTTGGGTTATCTCACCAGTTAAAGATAGTCTTGTACTATAGCATCCTTTACTTCAATGCGCACTTAGAGTGCTCCACATTGCTCAAACTACTTAATAGAGAGATAAATATTTTCACTCTTATTGTTAAGGGATACTCATTGCACACACAAGTTGCTAATATAATAAGGTTATGTTATAGGTTTTCATCAAACCCAATTTTTACAAGTCCCATCATTTGTGATGAAGCTAGTTTTCTTTTCATCAATTGGATGCATTTTGGTCTAATGACAAATAGAAAAGACTTCCAAGAAACTGAATATCAGACACGCCACTACCAAGTCCACCAAAGAGTCTATGATCAATAACGCAGCCCATTTTTGCAAAGAGATTACTTTTCATGATATAGCGTGCATAATTCATCATTTTCATCACATTTGATTGAAGTGCATGTGAGATATCCTTTTCGAGTAAATTCGATATTCCTAACAAGTGGACACGATCTGTTTTACAAACAAGCAACGTTTAGGCTATTTTTGTGTAGTGTCATGCCTACAGCTCATCATTTTTTATTGCAATAGATCGAATTGATTACAGGCAGTTCTTTCTTTGATATTTTCAACATTTTGAACCTGTCGGCATAATTGATATTGTGAACAGGTGGCATTCAAGTAGCTTTGATAGCATCTAAGGTGTTTCAAGACTGTTTCAAATGATTTTATGTTCAATCACCATCTTTAACATCAATTTCGAACCAAAACGATCAAATGCCACTTAACTGTTTGCTCAAGAAAAATGACGCTTTGGCATGAATCTCGCTTTTCAAACTTAAAATTACATTCTCCTTGAGGAAGATTGAGTTTTAGTTAACCAGATTTCTCCCGAGAATTGTATCGGGGTTTATTTAGATTTGGATCCATACTTCCTATGAGGCTATGAGAGCAAACTCTCATAGTTAATTATCCCTCTCGATTAAGGATGAATTAGCTTCAAAATGTTTTAATCTCGTTTGTGGGGGATGGAGATAGACCCGATTAAGATCTCATGGTTTCGTCGTCCCAAGAATACCGTAGGTTTCAATATACCAACACTAACAATCATTGATCGTAGTGTCCAGAAAATCTGATTAGTAGACATAAGTTGTCACCTAATAGAGATCCCGAGTAAACTGAAGTGATTAGATGTGGGTTATAGTTTTATTGTGGTTTCGGGCTTATAGCTTAATTTAGAAGTTGCCCAATAGTTTGTTTTAAGTTGAGGCTTATAGCTTCCATTGGAAGTTGCTCGAGATTTTGATCTAGTTCGGGGCTGACGGCTTCATTTAAAAGTTGCATGTATGTTTGGTTTAGGTTGGGGCTTATGGCTCCACTTAGGAGTTGTCCGTATGTTTAATTTAGGACGAGGCTTACGGCTTCGTTTAGAAGTTGCACGTATGTTTAAATTTAGGTCGGGGCTTACACCTTCGTTTAGAAGTTGTTCATAGGTTTGATTTAGGTCGGGGCTTATAGCTCCACTAAGGAGTTGCCCGTATGTTTGATTTAGGACAGGGCTTACGACTTCGTTAAAAAATTGTCCGTATGTTTGATTTAGCATAGCACTTACTGCTTTCATTAAAACTTGCCTAGAGATTTGATTTTGAAGTATAACTTACTACTTTCATTAAAAGTTGTCTGTTGTTTTTTAAGTTTAGGTGTTCATTACTCCACTTAGGAGTTTTACCCAATGAAGTAGTTTTGGAATAGGTCTTACAACTTCCTTTTGAAGTGGCCTATTCGTTTACTTGGATAGGTCTGACGACTTCTCTTAGAAGTTGCTTGTAGATTTTTAGGTTTTGGATAGTTACCTCACTTAGAAATTTACCCAACGAATTGATTAGGAACAGGTCTTATTGTTTCCAAAGTTGTCTGGCAGTTGAATTAGGGTTCTTTTACTTCCCTTGAAAGCTCTCCTAATGAATTAGTTTGAATAGGATTTACTACTTCATTTAGGAGTTACCTATTAGGTTTGTCTTAGGATGGTTTTAGTAGCAGATAATTAGCTTTGCACTTCTCTACTACCTCGACACTAGCGTTTTTCTTCAGTACTATTATTTCTTGTTTCAGTACTTCTTTTTAGCACTGCAATCTTTGTTATAGCACTTTTTTTTTTCTTTCTTGCACTGTAGTTTAGTTTATAATACTAAGTTGACCTTTGTTTATTTGTTTACAGGTATTCAGAGCTCGCATTGCTTTGGAGCTTGAACATGAGTTTGTACTTTATTTGGAGGGTTTGTTAGAGTCTGCTTGTAGTTTATTGTTTGTGTATAGTTTGGTTGTACAAGAGGTTTTTATAGTGTAAACATCGCTTTATGTATTTTCTATTTTGCATTGTTAATTTAATTAATTAATTAATTAATTTAAGAAATTTTAATTGGTTGCAATTAATTAATTAACTAGTTAATTTATTTAAAATATATATTATTTTTTTTAATTAACTAATTAATTAATTTGCTCACTCTTTAAAATATAAAATATCTCCATAGTGGCTCTCCCCTCTTAGTTTGATTTTTATTTTTGCTCTGGATTAAATAATTAAAGAAAATTTAAATTTATTGTATTTTCAATTAATTCATTAATCAATTAATTAATTAAAATTTTTCAATTTGTCGCTTTTCATATTAATTAATTAATTAATTAATTATTCCATTTTTATTTTAAAATCAACATTTTAATTTTAAATCAAAAAATATTTCAGTCTCTTAATTAATTAATTAAAATTTCTAAATGCTTCCAAATTGATTTTTCTAACAAGTTTAGAAAATTTGGGAACCTCTTAGCGTCCCCTCCCGCAAGGGGAGTGGGCAGGACAGGACGGCACTTAGATCAACGAGGCAAGGGCTTCAATTTGTCATTTCTGGAATGATTTAAGATCGACGGCGCAGATCTTCAAGTCAAATGTTCTTCAATTTAATTTATTTAATTAAATTATTGTCAAAAATCTGGCAACATTCTAACACCACTTCCCCGTGAAGCGAGGTTGAGACAGCACTTGTCGCTGAGTCTTCCTGGCCGAATCTAAGATACGACGACACAAGGTCATCAATTTAATTTCTTCCTAGCCGGATCGATCGATGGCGCATGGACTTCAATTTGACCATTCCTGGTTGCTTAAGTTTTGATTTTATATGAGAAAAATAAAGAATAAAACTTAAATTATTAACTGTAGTCTGGCAGAATTTCGAAAAGAATTGTTGTGGCCTTGAGAACGGGATAAATAACAGTAATTAAACCTATGCAGACTACATGCCATGGAGCACAAATGTGAAACGAGTGATTTGAGTTTGATGCACGCAAAAATTTGGGAAGGGACCCAAAGTTTTGCAAGCAAATGAAGACTCTTCCTATAACTTAAAAGATACTCAAAACACTACAAAAATAACATAAGATAAAGCGACAACATGACAACATTTGCACAAAACAAAAAACAAAAAACAACTTTACTATTATAAAAGGACTTACAAGATGCTTACAAATTTTGACGACATGAAGACGACTTAAAACATTGATAACATGACTGATGTAATCAAAAATTTGGGAGGACCCAAATTTTTTATCACAAAAATAAAACTCTTACTAGGATAAATAAAAGAGACAAAAATAATGAAAAGAACACAAATACGATAAACCACAACTTTATATAATAAAATGACTTACAAACTTTGAAAATAAAACGACACCTTACAACTCATGACGCTTACAAACATAAACATAAACATAAACAAAGATTCCTAAAGTTGCATTTCTTTGAGAAGAAAGATACAGGTGACGTCGAACTTGCGGAGAGAAGAAGAGGTTAGAAGCCGAGACGAAAGAGGAGAAGCTCGCAAGCTTTCCTAGAAGAGGAGTAAAAAAGATGGAACAAGCTCGCAAGCTTTTCCAACAAAACCCGCAGGTTTACATTTCCAAAAATCATTCACATAACATACTTAAAAGTTAAAACAGCCACAAACAACTTATATTTATAGACAAGAGAGGGGAATACAAACAGCCCCAAAAACCCTTCATATTCTTAATTAAATAAGGGAAATGAAAAGTCAACAGTCAACTCCATGAAACAAAGCACCATGGCCATGGAAAAGCCCCCCAAAAGTCACGGAAAACAGCCTAGGCGGAACCCGAAGAAGCAACCGTGGGAACCAAGGAGGTAGCCGTGGGAACCAAGGAGCCAAGGCACGGGAACCCAAGAGCCATCCACAGGAAACGAATGGACAAGGGGAAGGAGAAGAGACAAAATTAATGAATTACTAATAAATTAATAAGTTAACTAAAAACATAGCTCATAATGAGCTAACTCTTAGTTCAATAAATGAACTAAAAACCAACTCATAATGAGCAAAATTCCAGCTCAAAAATTAATGAGCTAGCAAGCTCAACGGGTAGTCAAAACTAAATTTTTTTGGGTTGATTTGACCCCCCATTTGTCTACATCAGACTCCCCTACTTGAGGACTCATCTCCCGATGAGTTAGCTTTGTTCTGAAGGCGTTGCATCAAGAGACACCAAGACTTGAGATTGCTCACTTGACACCAAGACTCAAATGACAACATGACTCAAAACAAAACTTACATGATAACTAACATGACATCAAGACACACACGACTCATAAACCTAGGACTTCCTAACTTGCTCTGATACCAAAATGATGTAATCAAAAATTGGGAGAGGGACCCAAATTTTTTATCACAAAAATAAAACTCTTACTAGGATAAATAAAAGACACAAAAATACTGAAAAGAACACAAATACGATAAACCACACCTTTATATAATAAAATGACTTACAAACTTTAAAAATAAAACAACACCTTACAACTCATGACACTTACAAACATAAACATAAACAAATATTCCTAAAGTTGCATTTCTTTGAGAAGAAAGATACAGGTGGCGTCGAACTTGCGGAGAGAAGAAGAGGGTTAGAAGCCGAGACGACAGAGGAGAAGCTCGCAAGCTTTCCTAGAAGAGGAGTAAAAGAGATGGAACAAGCTCGCAAGCTTTTCCAACAAAACCCGCAGGTTTACATTTCCAAAAATCATTCACATAACATACTTAAAACAGCCACAAACAACTTATATTTATATACAAGAGAGGGGAATACAAATAGCCCCAAAAACCCTTCATATTCTTAATTAAATAAGGGAAATGAAAAACCAACAGTCAACTCCAGGAAACAAAGCACCATAGCGAAGGAAAAGCCCCCCAAAAGTTACGGAAAACAGCCCAGGCGGAACCCGAAGAGGCAACCGTGGGAACGAATGAGGCAGCCGTGAGAACCAAGGAGCCAAGGCACGGGAACCCAAATCCACGAGAAACGAATGGACAAGGGGAAGGAGAAGAGACAAAATTAATGAGCTACTAATAAATTAATAAGTGAACTAACATAGCTCATAATGAGCTAACTCTTAGTTAAATAAATGAACTAAAAACCAGCTCATAATGAGCTAAATTCCAGCTCAAAAATTAATGAGCTAGCAAGCTCAAGGGAAGTCAAAACCAATTTTTTTTGGGTTTGATTTAACCCCCCTTTGTCTACATCAATGACACAACTTGAACCATAAAACAAAACCCAATGATGCTTCATTCCATTAGAAGAAGGATACAAGTGGGGTGGTCACTTGCGGATAGAAGAAAGATGTTAGAAGCCAAGACGAAGTGGAGACAAGCTCGCAAGCTTTCTCAAAGAGGGAAGGAAAGAAGGAAGTTGGACAAAGCTCGCAAGCTTTTCCAAATAACAAACCCGAAGGTAAAATCACATTATAAACTAACTTAAAACATCATAAAACATCTTCTATATATAGGCATGAGAAGGGAAACCAAACAGCCCCAAAATCTCTTCAAATACCTTAATTAAATGAGGAAAATGAAATGCCAACAGCCACCACATAGCAGTCCCCAAAACTGCACAGGAAAAAGAGCACCAAAGCCATGGAAAAACCCCCAACAGCCACGGGAAAGCAGCCCAGCCTGGACCCGAAGAGGCTGCCGCATGAACCAAAGAGGCCCGCACGAAACCGAGGAACCAAAGGCACGGAAAAACCACCCGGCACAAAAACCAAAAGCCAGCCACGGAAACCCAAGGGACAAAGGCACAAAAAACAGGCAGCCAGCATAGGAATCCAAGGGACAAGCTCAAAATTTTAAGAAGAAAAGGGGAGGAGAATGGACAAGACCACTCCATAATGAATCCAACTTATGAGCTTACCTTAGTAGATTAATGAGCTAGGTAGATCAATAAATTCCCCTATTAAATGAACTAAAACTTCAGCTCAACATTAATGAGCTAGCACTATGTAGAATTCTAGCATTTTGAGCTCAATATCAAGCAACCAAGGTCCATCCGAGAACACCAGAAGCCCAAGGGTCAAAACAAATTTTCATCTTGTTTTGACCCCCCCCCCCTTGCCTACATAAGAGTTCATGAGCAGTTATACACAAGTGAGGCATTCGGTTGGAGTAGAAATAGTGCAAGCAAAATCACCTGTTGTTGGACGAGAGAAGGCACATGGGAGTGTTGTGCTCACGTGGAATAGGAAAGAGTTGCGGGTGTTCGGTGGGGGTAGGCACGCGAAAAGCGTGTGGGTCGAAGTGTGCGATTGTGTGGGAGAAGGACTGTGCAGGACAGGGTGAGGAGCAATATGGACTACGAGGGAAACCGACGAAATGAAGCCGAGAAAACATTGCATAAGTTCTTTTCTTTTGTTTGGATATCTTGCCATTTTATCGACTAAACCGTCGAATAGGTGCGTCGTTTCAAAACAACGCGTCAGTTCAGTAGATTTTCGCTTTTCTCCCCTTTTTTTTTTTTTTTGTTATATTTTAAATTAGTCAACACTAACGAGCCTGGCGAGGATATCATATGAAATTCCATTGATAGATATGATCCTCCAAAGGATGCTGAGATTAACGTAGGCTCAAGCAACACAAGGGGATGTTGAGAGGGTGTAATATATACCAAAGCTATTTCCTATCCAGCCTCCCTTGCCTTTGAGGATCCCATTGAGTGATTCAGTTATTTCACTGCCATCAAACTGAAATGAGGGGAATGCAATCCCCTGGATAGCACCGTAGACCATATTAGATATAAGATTACAATATTTTGCATCCTGCCTTAGATCCTATTGAGCAAACAGGACATTCTACGGTACTAAGCCACAAAATTAAAAATAATATAAAAATTGCCAATAATTAAATATTTTCTAAAAAGGGTTAAAAACCAGCCTATGAAAATCTAATCTTTTTGGGGTAAACGCATTAAAAATATAAATGATTTCTTAAACTCTTCGTGTAAATCTTGCCAAATTTAGGTAGCAATTTTGTCATTCATACCCTTTATTTTCACTTGCTTTACAAATGAATATGTTCATTAGTATGGGATGTATATTGATCCTCTGATTATTAAAGCCAATTTAAAACATTATAAGGCTTTAAATTGTAACAGGTATAAGAAAATGGTTGTGTATTTATAAAGAGCTAAAACAGATGACTTTGAAAAAAATTTCTTCAGCTATGTGGTTGAATCAAACAAATTGAGCTTAAATACCGAAATGAGTTGGCCTTTCCCACGATAGAAGAGAACTTACACTATCTTTAAAAATATTGGCAAATGATAAATGGAATTATTTCTCAAGTTCTAACGAGGAATTAGAGAGTAATTAAAGATAATATATTTTAATTCATAAATAAAGATAAATGAAGAAGACTATAACCATAAAGATTACCAGATCAGTATAAGCAGAACTATGTCAGCTACCACATCAGATAATCTCTGACTTCAATAATTAATAGTGTTAATTCATAAGTAAACGTGAATGGAAAAGACTATGAAGCATCATGGTTTAAGAACTATAAGTACATTACTATGAAACTACTAGTACATTTCCATAGACTCATATAGTCGTTGAAAAGGCCATGGAAAAACAACAGAAATATGCTAGTTTCCCAATAAAAGATTCTCCCATTTATAATTCACATTTACCTAATTTAAACGTGAAAAACGTTGATAAAGTAAGCCGTACAAGACATTTTGGGCTGAAAGCAATAACTAAAGCACAGAAACTAACAATTTGTAAAGCTGGATGGAGTAGAAACTCAAATTGTTAGGGTAAGATACATGATTATGATGAGATTATGGTGAAGTGGGTATAGCAGAACAATCTTTGTCTACAGAAAATTCCTTTTCGTAATTGTACAATTGACACAGATGAATATACCACAACTAATAACTAGAGAACTTATCAAGGATACCTTGGGCGATATCCCATATGGTGAACGATGAGCTCCCATGAGATGCAGATGCCAAGTATGTGCGCAAGTATCAAGGAACAAACTTCAAAAACCGCGGTCAGAAAGTGAAATAACATAGAAGAGTTCAATAAAAAAAAACGGATATCATGAGGCATCTATATGCGTTGCAAGGCCACAGACGTCATATAAAGCAACTTTAAAATAAGGAACATTTATATGAACAACAGATTATGTAGAGATTACAGAAACTATTGCAGCAAGCCTCAGAATGAATGAATTGGATATCTTCCATCGGGACTGCAAGAAATTGCACTAATATGTTCACCAGTTGGGCTTCGAAGAAAATCAACCAAGATCCATCGAATACCAGAGCCACATGAAACGGTACCAACTGATGAGGCTACCCCGGATCTCACAGAAGGAACATTTCCTGGGTAAGATTCAGACCAAAGGCATATTCCACCCCTAGAAAGTAAAAATAAAGCATTTAAGAAATAAACTACTGGAAATTCAAAAATATTTGACCAGACAAATATCTTTAAACACTGCTGCAATTATAAAAGAAGAAAATGATCACGACATGGATTGATACATACTTGCATGCAACACACAGTGTCTTCCCACTATTGGGTCTCCATTCAAGTGATTTAATCTCTCTTTGGGCTTCACTGGCCAAGATGCAAGGATCTTTTCTCTCTAATCAGAAGATGGAATGACCATTATAAGATTAACGGTCTAAATAACTATAGCATGAAACGACTGCAAAAAATTTCTTAACCATCTATGCTAACTATAGCATGAAACGACTGCAAAAAATTTCTTAACCATCTATGCTGATTAAGCATCAAGTTCTGATCATAAAAATCAATATAGCAGAAAGGTTAATGCTTATCACTAACCTGAGTTATCATAATCACGAATCAAAACTTGATTGGATCCGGATATGCAAGCTACTATGTGCTTATGTGGATGCCAATTCACCCTTTCAGAACTAACTTCTGCAGACAAATTCAACTGTAAAAGAACAGTCGAGAACAGGAAAATTATATTCCATGAAAAAGCATCCTTTTACATTCCCCAATCTCTCTAAAAAATATTACAAATTCCATCGCATCTTAGATAAATTTAAACATTGAGTGCAACAAGTTCACTGGTTTTTCCAACAAGTAAACAAAAATACAATAAAAGGCCATTCAAGTCCTTATAAAGTTTTAAATGTGCAATAGCAGTTAAAATCAGATCACAAGAACTGAAATATGAAAATTCAAGCTTATTTGTCTTTTTAGACAGTAGCAAACAAAAACTTTCCTAAAATCTAAACGGTACTTAGGTAGTAGGAATTGATATTTCTCTTTAAGGGGTTAGTCGATGATAGCGCATCAGGTGCTATTTAGCATATTTTAAGTTGGCAACAGAGGGAAACAAACTCGCTCTCAATTCTTCATTGATAGATGTCATGCATGGCAAGGTATAAGACAATTTAGTTTTAGTGCTGGCATAGATCTTCAGCTAATTGTATTTGTCATTTCTTCTAGGATGCATGTCTTAGCAGCACAAATTGATTTTAAGTTGGCAACATAGTTTTTATTTGTATTCAAATAATTATCACAAAAAGTTGTGTCAATGGTTGAAATCTATAACTTAAATCTCTAAAAGAACCTATATACAATTCAAAATGATAAAGAATTTGGGAAATAAGATTGTTATTAAATCTACATATTTGCAATAAATTAAAAGCCTAAAGATTGCACGATTAAACTACAATGCACTTTGAATTTTCAAAAGGACATAAACAAAAATTGATTTTTTTAAACAAGCTTTTAAATTTAAATCCAACTTAGCCGACTAACCCTTCCTCCAAAAAAAGGAGAAGATAAAATGGTAGGTGGCAGCACCAGCAGGTGGTAACCAACCAGTCCACCACCACGACCTACCGCAAGCAGGAAGCAATGAATATGATAAACATTACACTTCTAGCCGAAATTTTATTAGAATGCTTTGGTCCAATGAAGGTTCTATGCATGACACATTTTCTCCCTCTACACTCATTCGCATGTTGCAATATGGCTTAAAACTTACAGATGCAGATGAAATGACACAGAAGTATAATAATGATAGCAACAAATGTATGCCAGTATGCCAGATTTGTATCTATCATGTCACACCACAAGGGCTACTAAAAGGATATAGCCTAGTTTACATGGCCGTGACAGATCGAATTAGAACTACAAAACAACTTTTTTAAATCAACATTCAAACAAAATCGCAGTTAGAATGGCACGTAGAAAGACTTTACTTGTACAATGGACTCCAAAATGAAAAATTCATCCAACAAGTACGGCCACATATAATATTGTCGCAATAAATCGGACAGCCATGACGAAGCAGTTTCACTTACAGCACTTGGAAACAAAATACGTTTGAACGAGTCACTCAGGATCTCTTTGAAAGCAACGAAAACACTTCTTGGGGTAGTGTCACTCCTTTCCAGCTCCACTTCTTGTTCGGACGGCAGCACAGTGTCCGTCCGGAAAGGAAAAGGACTGAAAACAAAACCCTGAGAATGCAACTATAAAATCGGTTTTCCACGAATACCAAACCATATCACAAACCCCGAAATCGTAATAAAACCAAACAACAGGTTCATCGCATCTTATTCAATAAAGGAACCATACGAGTACTCCTCCATAGGTTTCCTCTGCTCGATCGTCGGATAGGTTTTTGGCGGTAACTGGCAAGAGAAAAGTGTAGGATATATTGATCAATCATTCCTCCGTAGGAGCCATAACACACACAAGACCAGAGCAACAGAGAGATTCATACTCAAATCGCAATTGATCTCGCAGATTGTGACCTCGCCGCGCTGCGGTAAACTAGGCATTCCTCTCTCGAGTTGCTGCTCAACTGAGTGCAATAAGATTTCTAACGATGGGGAGTCTTTTGTGCGCCCTATAAGTCTGATGTTAGTCTGGGTCGTGTCGCAGTTACAAAGGAGCTGCTTTTCTGAATTATAAGAGTACAAATGGATATGACTTCAATTATTTTTTTTTTATTTTTTTTTAAATAGATGTTCTGATCATTATTATTTTTCTGACTAAATAAATTAGTGCACCTTATCGGGCTTAGCTGGATTGGTAGGCGATCATGATTGGGAGCTCTCCTACTCATGTTTGAATCTCCTCTCTTGCAACGCGACCCCTTAAATGGGGAGAAATAATTGTGGGTTCTGGCGTTCTGCACCTGTGAGACTGATTGCTGATAGGTTCGTCGAGGAATTAGTTACACCGCTAAGCGTCTCCTAAGAAGGTGGCAGTAGATAGATACCCCATTCTCAAAAAAAAAAAAATTAGTACTACTTCAATTTATTTTATGGATATCATATGAGTTACTTTAAGTCATGTTATTTTTATTTTCATCTATAATTTGTTTTATTTTATGTCTTTCTTAATTTCATATAAGATTAAAGTTGTAAATGCTCTAAGCCATATTTCTAATTTCATATGTTACATTTTAATATATCAATGAATGTTGAACATGACCTCAATTTCTCCAAAATAAATTTATTTATTTTAAAATTTAGATTTATATATATTGCAAGCTTTTACAATATTGTTTTAGTTGAGTTTTAGATTATGTTTCATTAAAAGTGCATGCTATCATTTTAATTTTAATTGTGAGATTAAGGCTTTGTTTGGGAATGCTTCTTAAAACAACTTTTTAGTACAAAAATTTTAATTTTAATATTGGAATGCTACTTTAAAAAATACTAAGAAAACCGTCCCAAACGAAGCCTAAGGTTTCATTTGGGATAACTTTTTTATTACTTTCTAAAGCAGTCTTTTTGCACAAAAATTTTTTTAACTGAAAATTTTTATACAAAAAATTGCTTTGGAAAGAAATGTGAAAGTTGTGCCAAAGAAAACCTATGAATATCATGATTGATGCTTACATAATTTCAACATAATAAGTGGAGTAATATGATGGTACTTTCAACTCTTACATAGTGAGAATAAGGTTTCATTTTATTCTCGTTATTTTAGAGTTTTAAAAGGAGAATATTAAGTAATGTGGTTTGAGAATACATATGAAGATGTGGTGCATATATTTTTCAAACTAGTTGATAAAATCAATTTAATTATACCCTAATAGAATGGTCAATATTTTTAATGTAAGACAAGTTTGTGGACCTCCGAAAGGGATCCGCTACAGAGTACAGACAGTATACGACCGCACCACTCTGAGGGATAGAAATAATCACAGGCCTTCGCACTCTTCGCAAGCGGGACAATGAAAGGACAGATTAGATCGCGCATATATTAACCATTGAGGATAGCGGATCTTACCAACGCACCCCTATTGTTAGTAATATATGCGACCTGGTCGTAACAACGAGTTTCCTCCACTAAATTCATCAGTTTGAGTGGGTTTATTTGATGTCAGAGTTCCATTTCCAACAAGCGTAAGCCCCTATGATTAATTTACATCTCGAACCTAGGGCTTGAGAAACTCTCGATTAAGGATCTGATATCCTTCTTCTCAGACAAGGGATTGGCACTGAGAGGATACTAGGAAATCCTACTCAAAGGGAATGAAATGATCCAAATGGGCTTAGTCAACATACACTGTTCATCTCATCATCCGGAGGGACTAAGACACTGAGAATAAAGTGGATAAAAGGGAAGCAATACACTCGAAGCATGCAGGGGGAAAGATGGAAGTGGCGTCATCCGTGTGATGCAGATAAGAAGGATTTATCATCCATGAAGAATAGGGAGCTTACCCACCGATAAGACATACTAATAAACACCGAATGTAGTTGCATTTAACCCTAAATCTAAAGTGGGTTTAGTGTTCTACCCAACACTAACACCCATGTCCTAACTAATGTAACATGGGCTTATATCCTACCTAAAAAGGAAAGCCAACTAACCACCTATGTGTATAAAATTCATGTTGTCCAACCTTTATGAAAGATGTGTAGGTTGACTGAGTGTTTTGGAAGTAAGGCCAACATTTAGAAGATTTTCAAATTGGCATTGGACTTATGTAAGATGAATGCTCATATAGCTAATGTAATTAAAATTTTAATTTAGTGAGATAGATCACATCCAATGTTGATTTAGGTATTTCTTATATATTTTGTTTATTTTGTGTTGTCATACAAATATGTTAAGATAGAATGATCTAAATTACATGTTCATAACTAGTGTAAATGATTCTTTTAGAAATGAATGAAATGAAAATAAAATATTACTTCCACTGCACTTATTATTTTATATGGGATGATAATTAGTGGTTCTGATAGATAATTAGATTATTTAAAATGGATAATTTTCTACATTAGATTTTGGGGCGTCATAGAGTGACAAATGTGCCCAAACTCAAGAGCATGTTATTGGAATTTAAGATTTTGATGTGATAAAAGTAGTGGATTCTAAGAATTGGAAACACTTTCATTGTTAAAGGGATGTGTCTCTAATTCTATAAATATTTCAAAAATTTCTAAGAGTTTTATGATCATCCATTGTGAATATAATCAAGACTTGTTTTAATTTAGGGTGAAGCTTTGGCTGAGAGTTTGGTGGAGCATTTGAGTGGGTATTTTATGGGATAGATGTTAGGTAAATTGTATGGTGATGTTGGGAAGGGATAGTATAAGAGTATAATTTAAAGAAATTAGTATCGCTTATGAAAATTATTGGACTGAGCACCCACCAAAAGTGGTAGGGTGTTAAGGAATCACCAAACTCCTCTAAGCATAAAGCTTACCATCAAGTCTCTTCAATTGGAAAATAAAATCTAAAATTTTTATGCTAGTTTAAAATTCCATTATTGCTTAAAAAATAAGTATATGAAGAATTTTATGAACATTCACACTTGATTCCACATGGAGGGAGAGTGAGTAAAGGTGTCAACCACATGTTTGAATAATGGTGAGTTGGTTAACCTCCTACTAACTACCCCCGTCCAAGCGGGTTTTGGTCGACCATATGAAGGGGGCACATAATCATTTATTTTTTTTTTATAATTTAAATAATCATTTTCAATCTCATTTAAATAATATTCCTTCATTATTTGAAAATCCAAAATTAAAAATTTCAAAATTTTGATTTTGATTTTCAAAACTTATAAAATTAATACGTGTAAAAAAATTATAAACTACCATTACAATATCTTATACAACTACAATGAAACATAAAAAAAAAAAATACATCTTGATTGAAATTCTTCCTTCTACCCTTTATCAAGGGTCCTAACTTATTGATAGTTCCTTTCTTATGATTGGCTCTTATGGTTGGTCAAATTCTTCATCCTTAAGCTTCTTGCACCACAAAATATGGATGTTTTTGTGTTTATTGTGAAATATGGTTTGCTAAGGATACATCCTTTTGTGAAAGGTATTTTTGTCCCAATAGAACATTTAAACATATATTGCACAAATAAAAAATATAACAAAATATTAGATCAAAATGTTTTTTTTAAGCACACATAGTAAAATTTCTCCTCCAATACTTAAAAAAAGAAATTTGCATGGTAAGTTTTAATAATGTCTAAATCATTATTATTCAAATAAAAAAAAATTACTACTCAGTTCAAGATTAGCCATTTGATATTCAAATGTCCTGAAAGTAGAGGAGATCTATCATAGATGAGGGCCTAGGTCTATAGCAAGACAAGCTATTTGATATTTTGGCAAAAATTTATACAAATTATTGTCACATATAGTTTCATAAATGTATTCCATTACAATTTTAGAATATAATACATAATATGCATAATCGAAAAGAAAAAAAAAAACTTTTAGAAGTTGCACTTGATAATATATAATTTTATAATAACATAGATTCACAGGCCTATCCAAACATGATTGAATCAATATGTAAACATTATTATTTCAATTCAATTGTGTAGTGCAGCACTATGTTGTAAATATTATAATGTTTGAATTCATATCTATTTAGATATGCCATATCATAGCTATCTTGATTATTCTCTGAAGTGATATTGCTTTTGGATTATTCACGATTATGATATAATTTTTGTATTAAACTCTACTGTGTTATACCTCTTGGTTTACATCATGTCCTAAGTATGATTGAATCATGCTCAAATCATATTCGAATAAGGCTCTAATCTTTGTTTAACATGGTTACGAGCATGATTTGAATATGGTTCAAACATTACTCAAATATGATTTCAGTCTTGTTCGAATAAAATTTTAGTATGATCCAAATATTGCTCAAATGTGATTTGAATCTTATTTGCAACTTAATAGAACTTGTCATTTGAAATGAACTTTAAATAAAAATTTATAATAAAAAATATTAATTTTTTATTTGAAATAAAATTTTAAAGATAAATATTCAAGAAAATAAATAATAAAAATATTTATTGAAGCATTAATTTTTTTTTTCATAACATAATCCGACTTAAATGAACTTTTATTTTATCCAGTGAACGTACGCTCCTCTACGTTCGGATTAAGGCAAAAAAAGCGCAATACCGAGTACCGAGTTGTACCGAGTTCTTTAAAAAAACTCGGTATTGCGCTGTTTTGATCTAAAACCGAACGTAGAGGAGCGTGTGTTCATGTTTTTAAGTTTTATTGTCGTATATTAAGACTTCATTTGGGACAATTTTTTTATTGCTTTCTGAGTTTTAGAACCCAAACAAAGCATAAGTTTGAAGTGAACGCCGCATTGTTCCTGTTTCCTAGTGTTACTTTTATGAGACTATACGCAAGGTGATCCAAACTAGCGCGCTTCTTGGTAGTTTTTGTCCGAAGGTTGGTATTTCTTCACCTACCTCAAATTCTGCGCACTAACCGGAAAAGATTTTGTGGGCTTGCTTGCATTAGGGTTTGGAAATGGATTTTCTTCTTTGATCTTTTTGGATGAATGTACATGGGAGCGGCTGCAAGCTGAAATTGTAGTGTTGTGGGTTGAGGTGAACTTGTCTTCCATATTTAATTTTGGCTTGGAGTCTTGTGTTTTCTTATTTATTTTCTCTAAATTGTTGAGTTTCTAGGTCGCAGGTTAGTCGAAAGAGAGAGAATTGAGGTTTCTCTCTTCTTACTGTGCCAGTAGTAAGCAATGTTTCATTCCTGGGTTGACCCAAGCAAAAAACGGCGACTTGTTGTTGTGTTATGCGGAAATGCTTCTGGCAGAGAAAGGCCGGTCGGGGGTGATGGCATGCGGTACCCCTTTCCTGATCTTGCTTCTTCTGGTTTCCTTGAGGTAGGTTTTATAAAAATCATAGACAGATTAGTTATGGCTTTCTGATGTTTTGCCTGTACATATTTCCATCCACCAGTAAGCTTTGATGCTGTCTGTAGAGGCAACCCTAACTTTTCCATTTCAAACATAGGCCCGGACGCTTAGGAATCCAACGATAGATCAGTTCCAGGATGTTCTGAGTGCAGAATGTCCAGACATTCTGTACTTTCAGGGACAGCAACTTGAGAGTGAAGAAGAAATTGGTTCTCTCATGTGGGGAACCACAGATGTTACCGACACTGAATTTTTCGTTTCTCTGATTATTCCTCCGTTACCCTCTATTGTAAGTTATTCTCCTATTTTTTTTTTTTAAAAAAAAAAACCATTTTCTTCATTTCTCACATTATTTCCTATTCATTTGATATGGCAAACATGAATATATATATGTCGCTTTGGTGAAACCGTTGATCTCGTTCCTCATTAAATTGAGGCCATAATAGCCTAATTGTAGTATTTTCTCTTCGTTCTATTGAATTTTTATGCGCTCTTATAAGAGATGGGCTTAATAGGCTTATGTTAGTTATAAGCAGAGCAAAAGTATATTCTTGTTATGTATATAATTGCTTTATGATGAGAGACATCTTATGCTTTTACATCATTAATATGCTGTTAGGTGGGGCAGTGAAGTAATAAAAATTTTGTTAGGCAATGTTACAATGATACCATTAGCTTTTACGTTTTCACTTTCAAGCTCAACATTTATGATGAAAAAAAGGTCAATGTTAACTCATCTCCTTGATAGCTTTGACCTGATTTTAATTGGGATTTCCTAGTGAGCGCTTTACCCTGACGAGGTTTTGCATCTTTTTGTTTACCCAAAGGCCTGGTAAATGTGAGTTTTTTTCATATGCTGCTTTTGTCTTGATTTTTCTTGTTCATTTTTCCATTGCTGTTAACCTGCAATGAGCATTGGTCTTGGGTATCAGAAGTTGGGAACATTAGTTATATAGAAGGCCTATCTCCTCCTTATGGCTATGTTGGCCACCTTTATTTTATTATTCATATTTTTTCCTTTTTTTTTTCTTCTAATTTTTAATTAATTATTTTATTTTTTGCACTAAAGAAAACTCCACATTTATTTATCCTTAACCTCTAAGTACTTTAATGGCTTAAATATTAAGCTAGGGAAAAAATCATTTAGCAGGAGAGAGGCTTGACCATAGGGAGTTTTTAGAGCTAGCTATGATACATTACTTCTAATAAAATTTTCATTGCAATATAATCAAAGAACCATGATACAAGAAAATTTTTAAGCGGCGCCTTGGTTTTGGAGGGCTGAAGGAAGTCGGGGGGAAAATCCTGCTGCCCTTGCTTGGCTTTGGAAGTCTTAGAACAAGCAGAAGTTCGATCCCTCCAAGTCTCAAGCTCAAGCTCCCAGCTCTACAAGCTCACGCACTCCTCACCTGAGCTCCAAGGCACGCACAATAGGAATTCCCCTTTGGTTTGGCCTCAGGTGCATGTATAGAGCCGCTGCTCTCTTGTTCGATTCGGCCTAGGCATGCACACCCCAAGCCCTTCACCTGCTTGGTTTCTCCCAGGAAGAAGAAGCGTGGAGCAACGCTTGGTTCAAGAAAGTTGAAGGAGGAAGGAAGCATTGAGCGCCTCTCCCTCTCTTGCTCCAAACATATGCACCTCTCTTTCTCAATTTATGGAAGACAAGCCCCAACAATTTGCTCTCTCTCAGTTTTCTCTTTGGGAGATGAAGAAGGATTGAAACAAAAGAACTCATTTCGTCCTATCTAGACCTCTAGAGCGTCTGTTCCCAGAAATCCCGGGAGAGGATAGGAAGACAACAATGCTCGTTTTAAAATTTAAGGTAATCTCAGCCTTCCAATGCGATTGCTTGATTTGGGAAGGCTAAATTGGGGAAGGTTCAACTGATTGGGCTTGGTTAGGCTTGATTTGAGTTCGATCCGGGTTCACTTAGATTCAATTGAGCCCAATTAGGTCCAAAAATTAAGTCAAAAGCACCTAATGTAGCTTCATCCTGCCAGCTATAATATACCTTTATAGCCAATTAGAAAGGATGAACCATGGTCACCTTTTGATAGCGCATACCTAGCCACTATAAGAGTACGTGAGTCTTGTCACGCTAATTTTATAGAGAGCCCCCTTATTAGAGCCGCCAATTTGATAAAACCCCAAATTGACATTATCTGCTTGCATATGTTGTCCCAACATTTGAGATAGTGCCCCAATGCTTTAGATGCCGAGTTTGCTACCACCTCGCCATATTTGGTGAATGAGGAAGAAGAATCTTCTCAAATGAAAAGCTCATCGACCGCAATTTATTTTGGTTGAAACCAGTAGGAAAAAGGTCCGTGCCTCTCTGGAAAAGGATGAAGAGGGAGAGGAAGCATACACTCGGTTTTCACTCCAAAGCTATACTTCAACAACCTCTAACCCCTTGGTTTTGGAGGGCTGAAAGAGCCAGGGAGGGAAAAGCATGCATCCCTTGCTCGACTTTGGAAGTCTCAGAACAAGCAGAAGTCCAATCTCTCTGTCTCAGGTTCTTGGCTCTCCTAGGTCACACACTCCTCACTTGAGCTTTAAGGTACATAAGAGGAATTCCCCCTTTGGTTCGGCCTCAGGTGTGCAAAGAGCAGCTACTCTCTCTTGTTCAATTCTTCCCATACATGCACACCCTAAGCCCCTCGCTTGGTTTCTCCCAGGAAGAAGAAGCGTGGAGTAGTGCTCGTCCCAAGAAAGTTGAAGGAGGAAGGAAGCATCGGCCATCTCTCCCTCTTTTGCTCAGACGCATACACCCCTCTCTTTCTCTCTCTCTTAGTTTCTGGAAGAAGACCCCCAACAATCCACTTTTTCTCAGTTTTCTCTTTGGGAGATGAAGAAGGATTGAAACAAAGGGCCTCGCTCCATCCTATCTAGACCTCTTGAGATGTCGTAAATCCCAAAAATCCCGGGTTAAGATAGGAAGACAACAATGCTCATTTGGAAATTTAAGGTAATCTCAGCCTTCCAATGTGATTGCCTGATTTGGGAAGGTCAAGTTGGGAAATATTTAATTGATTGGGCTAGGTTAGGCTTGAGTTGAGTTCGATCTAGGTTCACTTAGACTCAATTGAGCCCAATTCAGTCCAAAAATTAAGTTGACAACACCTAATGTGGCTTTATCCTGCTAGCTATAATATACCTTCATAGTCAATTGGAAAGTATGAAGCATAGCCACATTTTGACAGCTCATACCTATCATCACTATGAGAGTATGGGAGTCCCTTCACACTAATTTTCCAGAGAGCACCCTTATGAGAAACACCAACTTGATGAGACCCAAGCTTGACATTATCAACTTGCATATGTTGTCCCAACATTTAAGATATGCTCCAATGCTTTGGACGTCGACTTCGCTACCACGTCGCCAAATTTGGTGAATGAGGAAGAAGAAGGCCCTTAAATGAAAAGCTCATCGGCTGCAATTTTTTTTTAGTTGAAACCAGTAGGAAGAAGGAGGTCACTGCCTCTTTGGAAAAGTCTGAAGGTGGGGGAGGAAGCAGACACTCGATTTTCACTCCAAATTTGAACTTCAACAACCTCTAACCCCTTGGTTTTGGAGGGTTGAAAGAAGCAGGGAGGGAAAATATTGCAGCCCTTGCTCGGCTTTGGAAGTCTCGGAATAAGCATAAGTTCGATCGCTCTAACTCTTAGGCTTCTTGCTGTCCAAGGTCACGTACTCCTCACCTGAGCTCTAATGCGCATGCAAGAGGAATTCCCCCCTTTGGTTGGGCCTTAAGTGCATGCAAAGAGCCGCTTCTCTCTTGTTCGATTCAGCACAGCCACACACACCCCAAGCCCTTCAACGGCTTGGTTTCTCTTTGGAAAAAAAGCGTGCAGTAGCTCTTGGCCTAGGAAAGTCGAATGAGGAAGCAAGCACCGGGCCCCTCTCCTCTCTCACTCCAGATGTACACCTCTCTCTCTCTCTCTCTCTCTCTCTCTCTCTATTTTGTTTTTGGAAGACGACCCCCAACAGTTCGCTCTCTCTCGGTTTTCTCTCTTAGATACGAAGAAGGATTGAAATGAAAGACCTTGCCCCATCCTATCTAGACCTCTCGAGCTGCTGTAAATACCAATCTCGAGATAAGATAGGAAGACAACAATGCTTGTTTGAAAATTTAAGGTCATCTCAGCCTTCTAATGCGATTGCTTGATTTGGGGAGGCTAAATTGGGAAAGGTTGAACCGATTGAGCTTGGTTATGCTTGATTTGAGTTTGTTCTGGGTTCAATTGTGCCCAATTTGATCCAAAAATTAAGTCGACAACACCTAATGTGATTTCATCCTGCCATCTATAATATACCTTCATAGTCAATTAGAAAGGATGAAGTGTGAACTCCTCTTGACAACACATACCTAGTCACTATGAGAGTACATGAGTCTTGTGCCACTAATTTCCTAGAGATCCCTCTTATGAGAGCTACCAACTTGATGAGACCCACGCTTGACATTATCACCTTGTATATGTTGTTCCAACATTTATGATAGTGCCCCAATTTTCAACCCAACATCCCCACCCTCAGTATGTGGGATCCATCAGCAAGTGCCACTAATGTGAAATTGCTTGGGCCACTTGGAATAGATGCCCGGACCTTCTTTATCTAATTGCACGGAGTGAACTTTTGATCTCATATATAGTCATGGCAATATTGGTTGAGAGCAACTTGCTTATTGACCATGGTTTATGGGAGGCCACTCTTTAATGATAATTGAGAACATTAGTCTAGGTTTGCAATGACCAAATGACTCCAAGTTTTTTGGGTGGATTACCATGTTTATTTTGACCGAGTTCCAAACTCATCAACAAGTTGGTCCCCCCAATAATCCCATTTTGAATATGGTCCATTCAGGCTATAATGACTTGGAACGATAGATTCCAAATTTTCGAAGTCAGTCTCTCAATTCCCTGTTGGATTCATTCTGGCAAGCAGAAAAGTGTGATGCTGCTCGGATTGAATCTAAGAAAGCACCACCCCAACTTTCCATAGGTAGAAATGTCTTGGTTTATACTGCCCATACTAAAATACCAAATTTATCTAACTTAACGCTTGAAAATCTTGTCTCTCTAGTAACATTTATTTCTTCTGTCTAGTTTTAACAAGCTCCTGATGATTGCCTCCAAAGAACACCATGCAATGCGACTTTGAGTTTGCTTCTTTGTGGCAGGGGGGGGCGATGCCTGCAGCCTAGATATAAAAAGAGGAGAGGAAGGTGGATGTGCCCAACTAAGTTGGTTAATTAATCGTATTACGTTTCTTTTAGTAAAACTCTAGTTGCTAGTTGGGTGCTGGATTTTCTTAATGACACATCACCTCATTTTATGCATGTTGGCAGTCTATTTGACAAACTAATGCTCTCTACTTGTCTTCACATTTGGCCTTTGGTTGCCAAAGCTTCTAACACTAATTGCATTAGGCTTTTTGGAAATGGATACGAGGACTTCATCCATCAATCGATTGTAGCGTCGACTCCTATTTTATTGACAATTATGGCTATAGGAGTGCTATTCATTATTGATCCTTACCTGAAGATCATTGGTTTCAAACAAAACAACCTCTCTGTAATGTTAGTTAAGTTTATGTGCATTAACCCCTCCTCTGAATCGAGCATCGGTGAGAAGTCTCATGCACTTAATACACCCTTTTAGATATCTTGACAGTATTGCAAATTCCCTCCTTAAATATTATATCAAATAGAAGCAAATTGATTGGGCCACTTAACTTTTTTTTGGTAAGTTTGTGAAAGAAAATAGATTTGGTTTGTGAATGTAAAATAACTTATTTCAAGCGAATTGATGGAAGATAAAACCGTTGCTTGGGTTACATCATTAGGTATAACCATAATGAGAGGATTTTTCTTTGGGTAGAAATGTAGAATAACTTACTTGATGTGTATTTTCTCAGTTGGGTAGAAATTTATCAGCTCACATAACTGAACTGGTTTACTTTCAGCATTTACTAAAATGCAGGGTCAAACTACAATCTACCGAATAAGTTGATTAGTTTAGGTAATTTTTAGACCTAGAAGAAATGCACATACATAGTTTTTGGAAAGCCATCTGAAATTGCCAAACCCATCTATATCATAATTCAACCGTGTTTGATGGAAAAATCATGAAGTCAAGTACCGCCCTTTGTTGTAGTTTATTATTCCAAGTTTTAAACATTCGTTCAGGTTGCAAATTTGGAACTGCCAGAACACATTGATTTTACATTTGATCTTTTACTATACTAGATTATTTCTTACAATTTATTGAAGAGGTTCCTTCAAGTAAAAGTTTAGAGCCAGCTATGTGCTTTGAGATACAAAAGAAGTCATTCAATTTGCAGATAAAATTTCTTGATGTTAGTATATTGAATTTCTTTTGCTTGCATTTTTCGTTTTATCTTGATTGTGATCGGTTGGTTACTGAAACCTTGTGCCGCCCTTAGACATACACTGATTTTCAATTGATGTTTTATCTTGATTGTGATCGGTTGGTTACTGAACCTTGTGCCGCCCTTAGACATACACTGATTTTCAATTGATTTGCATAATTATTTATGTATTCTAAATTGTACTTTTGTATCTTTCCCTAATTGGCTGCAGGTTTACCTTGAGGCACCAAACAGTGAACAAATTGCAGAGGCATTGCGTGTGAAGGTGAAAGTTTTCCATGGCACTATATTTTCCATTTATTTCTCTCTGGTTTGGAGTTTTTAGTTTAATGAGTCCACATGTAAATTGTTATGATCGGGAGTAAATTTCTCTATGAAGTTCAACGATTTTTTGTTCCAGACTCTCAAACATATGCTGCTTTGATGATGGTACTTATGCTGATATGGCAATGCTGTGGTTTTTTTTTCTGCATCATCATTTAACATGCCTGAGCCTTGGTTCAGGTCGTTTAGGTGATTGATTCATAATGGTTTTGGCCTAGCTCACTGCTCACCTATGCCATGACCATTGAGTGGTTCCTAAAAAAAGAATTCTTAATAGCTTTATGTGATTTTGCTAGTTTTTCTCCATGTGTTGTCCCCCCTTTTTTTCAATCCATGCTGTTGCAAGGTACTTCAGCTATCATTTTGGCATTTCCTTTTATTTTTTGCGGGAGTCAGCAGAAGTTTTCAGGAATATTGTACGTCATACATTCTAAGAACCTTGTCTTCTATTTCGTGCTCCAAATCTTATGGTAGGATTCATTGAGATAACTTTTGAAGTACCTAATAGTATTTGTGTTCTGTGATGTGACATCATCATTGGGTTCTGCTTTCTGATATCTTTTCATCCCAACTGTTGATCTTGTTTTTTTTTAATCCTTCTCATTGCAAGAGAACTGGTCATGTGGATAATATATATATATATATATATATTATTTTTTGAGTTATGTACTATTTTTGAACAAGGCATCCCAGATCATCGCAATAACCATTGTATGATGTATTGAATTTATCTTGTTTTCCTTTTTCAGGGTGTTCCTTGTGTAATTTACTGGAATAATTCACCCACAATCACAACTTATGCAGCATGCCATTTCCGCCAAGCCTTATTTTCAGTTTTGCAGTGGTACATCATTTTTTGTTCGCTTACTTTAGATATTCAAACCAGTATAAGTTTTTTCCTGTAGTTATATTCTTTCCATTTTTTGCCCAGTACAAGCGGCCATGCATGGGATGCATTTCAGTTCGCACATGCATCTTTCCGTCTCTATTGCTCAAAAAACAAATGTATAATGTCTGCAAGCTGCCTGCAAGTTGATAGGAAATTTTTCCCTTGTTTCATTGGAGATGCTCCGAAGATTAATGTGAATCAACTTGAGAAATCTATTTATGGTGGAGAATCTTCTGTAACTTCTCTTCCTAATATAAAAATACATGATGAGTATGTGAATGTAAAATTTCTGGTCTGTGGCATGCCTTGTATCTTGGTAAGCTAAAGCTTCCACTGTACTTCGTTTCTGGTTGGTTTTCTTTTGATTATCTTGGCTCAGTATCCAAAAACCCTTTAATTTCCATTTTTCACTTTCTACAGGATGCATGTTTACTGGGCTCTTTGGAAGATGGTCTTAGCGCTCTCTTGAATACTGAAGTAAGTGCTATGAAAGACGGGATTATTTAGTCATTGTATATTATTTTTAAATTGTTGATCGGGTTCATCTAAACGCTAAAGTTCCATAAGGTGGATACAGATCTATGTTTAGCTAATAATTTTGTTTGCAATGTAATTTTTTTAGTTCATTGTTTATTGTTTTATTTGTCAATCTTTCTGCCGTCCAAGTGAGTGCCATTTATTGACACTAGGTGTCACAAAGTGCATTAGCAAGTTGCATATCCTAATTTTGACCTTTATTTTAAGGGTATTAATGGTTTGATCTTGAGTTGATTTGAACCCAACTTAAGATAGGCTATCTTGATTCTATTTTCATTTAAGTGTGTTTTGGTTCATTAATTTTGATTTGAGCTATAAAAACATTTGATTTTGATCAAGTTTTGATCATTTATGACAAATACATTTTCTGACATAAATGTGCCTTCATAAAAAAATATATGCATTGTTATAGATGATAGATACACTTATACAGAAGTAGTTGAATACAAATACAAAATATATATGAATATATGTAAGATGCATATACAATCTTTGCTTAATATTGGCCAGGTGTGTTTGTTAATGTGCTTGCATTGACATTCATACTCACGCATCCACATATGCCAACACATTCACACAAACATATATATATATATATAAATATATATATATATGTACATATATATATATGTACATATATATAATGTCTGTGTGTATATTTTCACCCTTGCGAACTCATCGCCTTGTCGTCTAGTTTGTTGCTTTTAGTTGAAAATAGATTTGATTACTGTTGTATCTCCCTACTTTGGGTCCTATTTGGTCCACATTCCTGAACAAGTGATTATGAGAGCTGATGGCTTGGCTTAGATCAAGTGGTTCTGCCAAGTTGTGGCTACCATGATCTTGATCCTTTTGTCAAGGTTAAGCAAAGGTTTTGAGAGGGTGATTTTCTTGATAGATTCATGTGGTTGAATGAGCTTTCGTTCCTTGATACTTAATGATGATTCTATTTAAGGGGGAGTGATGATTGATGTGGAGAGCTCTCACGTCCAAGGGAGGTTATTAATGCACACGAAGGTATTGGGTTTAGTTCCACATTATATTGTTTAAAAATATGTAGTTGTAGAAGTACTAAGTAGTTGATGCCATCTATAGATTTAAATTTTTGGGTTAACAATAAATTTGACCATTGGTAGAAATTTGATTTGGCTTGTGCCTTATACTATTAATTTGACAACTGTGGTTGACCAAGAATCCCAAGCCCATCTTATAACCTTCATGATCTTGAATTCCTTGGTCAGCTCAGGCTGACAAGCCAATAATCCAGGTCACAAGTCTGATTAAATTTCGGCTTAAGTCAGGCAGTTGCCTAGTTCTCTCTATTTCATTGAGACTCATCACTTACTTGAGAATGAATAATAGTTTCCCCCGGATCCTTAGAATGTACATTGCGGCTAAAAATATTTAATGCAGCCAAAACCTATGGAAGAAGGAAGCCATTGTTGGTGTTGGTGAAAATGTGTTGATTTTCTTATCTTTCTTCACATTTATTTGTTATTTGTTGAATGTTGGAGAGTATAATGTTGATTGTAGTGTCACTAAAAACCGGCAATTCTTTTTCATCTCATTTTTTTATCTAGTGGTTAGAACTTAGAAGACTTTGACAAAGCTTTTTAAATGCAATGAAATCATAATGAAGCAAAACTGTAGTACTAATTGTGAGAAACAGCCCATTTAATTCATTTTTTGAATTTAAATGGGGTATTTGAAATTATAATTTTGTTGACGATTTATTTTCAGCAAAGCTTGTTAAATGCAATGAAATCATAAATGAGCAAAACAGTAGTACTAATTGTGAAAAACAGTCCAGTTAATTCATTTTTTTAATTTACATGGGGTATTTAAAATTCTGGTTTCGTTGACGAGTTATTTTCTCTTCTATGTATGAATTTCATATCAGATCCCACTTCAAGGGTTCTTTTGCTACTTGGTAAAAAGTGCTTTTAATTGCTGTAATTTTTTACTATCCGAAGGAAGAGTTGAAAGCCTTAATGGGCTAGCTTTTGGATGGACTTTCTCTATGTAAATGTGCCCAGATTTGTGTAAAAATGGAAAATCAACGGGTCTAGTGTGAGTTTCAAGCCTCCTCTTATTGTCCTATTTTGATCAAATCACATCCCCATTGAAACTGCTAGAGAAATCATTCATAAAGCTCTCCAAATAGATAGAATAAGTCGTCACCACGAAAAAATGCTGAATATTTCACATGATCTTGATCTTAACTTTTTTCATATAACCTAAAGTTCTCACTGAGATATATACAGATATAGCAAATTCAAAACCATCATCCAAGATAAACATGAGCCACTAAAACTTGTATAAACCGGTAGATACATATTATGAGAACTGCAAAATAGGTAACAATAAGTGTATGGCCATCAACTGTAACTACATGTAAGTATCAAAATATGTTGATTGTTGTACACCAAATCTCTTCTATCACCATTTACTTTACATGAGATTTTCTTGAAAAATATTTAACTTAGGTGGTAAATCATATTTCTAAATTACAATATTCAAAAGAAAAATTTAGTAATATGCATGCTATTCATCATATTTGAACTCTAGGGAAATCATACAATTCGGCTTTTTATATCAACAATAGTTTTGACCATAAAATGAACATTTCAATTAGGGCTATGAATAGTACTGGAATCATAACATTCAACTTTTACCTCAAAGGCATAAACATGAAATATAACGTATCATATCATAATTTATCTTTTAATATAAAAATTTAATATGTTCGTAATTCGTCATAGGAACACCATCAAGTTGTATTAATTTGATACATCAATATCAATAGCCTTTTCGAAGCCTGTCAAATTAGTGAGGTCAAGGCAAAAGCCTCTATGTGTGTATACAATCATCCCCATCTAGTATCATATGGGGTAACTCCATCTTCCAATATGCCCGTACAACTATTTTTAGACATATAATTGCTTTAGCATGCACCGTATGCATGATAAGATATGTATAAACAATTGGCATCACAAGAAACCACATATCTTATTTAAATAACATGAAAGTTCACTGCATTAAGAAGAGAACAATCACTGAGGGATCATATACTATTACATAATCTCATGCATTTTAATGACCAGGAGTTATAAATATACAGCGAAATGCATTGAGTTTAGGAGAAGTGAAATATTACTCTAATTTAGAAATGAGATATTGCACTTTAGCCTTTGATTCATCAATCAATCCTTAGACAACATATCTTTTAGCTTAATACTTATAATGATATGCTTCAAGTTCATGAACTGGGCCTTGGCCTAGTGTTTCAAACCCTAGATCCCAACTATGAGGGTATGAATTCGATCCCTATTTTCCACACTATTGCTCATTTCTTGGAAAAATCTTAGGCTTGTATTTCTGTTTGACTCATATATCTAGGATTTGTCTCCTTCAATGGCTATTCACAAAGTATATGAGATAGGTCTCTATCCTTTATAAAAAAAATTCTATTTTGCTTAAATTTTCAGAACTTTATGTTGTTCATAAATTCATTTACTTATTTTCTTTACTAATGTTCACCTTAATTAAGAATAACTACATGAAAATAGTGTGTTATCGGTGGGCAAATTCCGCCCGAAAATGCCTAAAATTCGTCGGAAATAATCATTTCCAGCGGAAAATTATTCGACGGTAAAACACGCGTCGGAAACATGTTACCGTCGCAAAAAATTCTGCCAGAAAGATTTTCGGCAAAATTTCGGCGAAAAATCCGTCAGAAAAATTTTCGGCTGATATAAACTCTGTCGGAAAAACAAAAAAAAAAAAACGAATTTTTTTTTTTATAAACTAAGTTGGGCTCACCCGAAGCCATGCCAGCCTCCCGCCTCATGGGGCCCCCGTAACCTGCTGGCCTGCCAAGGCTCACCCCGTAACCCAACAGCCCGCCATTGCTTTGTAACCCGCTGACCTGCTTGTGCACCAGCTCTAGCTCATCACGTAACCCATTGGCCCACTGACCTGCCCTGGCTTACCCGTGACTTGCCCGAGCCCGCCACGCCTATGTGTGGCATGTGAGTTTGAACACCCACCCCTTAGCTCTCTTATACCCGTCAAAACCACTATGCAACTATTGCAAAATAGCATAAAGAGCTGAGTTCTTTTTTATTTGTATTATAAACTATAGAACATGTTATTTAAAATAATTAATATATTTAATATAATTTATTTAAAATATTTAACATTCTTTCTGTAGTGAATATGAATTATAAATTCCAAGTTTTCTAATTTTTCATTCTTGACAATATTTAGTCTAATTTTGCATAATAAAATTTCAGGTTTTTTCTTTTATGTAAATTTAACCCCAGAATTCTCTTAAGCAAATTTGCCAATCATTCTTTCATTAATATCTTCACTTGACATTTTCTTTCCTATACATTCATTAAAATGTTTTTGATATTCTTTCCTATGCAAATCCAATATTGAAACCCTTGAAATGCTTTAGATAAAATTTTCTTCATCTTCCTTATACATAGAAACTAGATCTAGGTTTCACAAACTAATTTCATGCAGAAAAGACGAAATATAGTTTGCCAAATAGGAAAAAGAGGAAGAAGAGAAGAGTTTTATAAGTTCCTTTCTTCCTAAATTTGCCTCATCGGTTTGATTTGTTCTTGTGTAGTTTCTAACGCCTCACCCTTTGCTACTTGCGATTTTGTTGTTCAAGAGTCTATCTCCTTGTATCCTTATTTAGTCTCCTCTTTTTTTATCGCTCACTCTTTGCCTTTGTACGTATATACTCATTTTGCATTACGTTTCTAAGTGTAATGCTACTCATCTACCTGAACATTCTCATCTTTGCAACAGTTAACTAAGCATTGCAAGTCTCACCACCATCATCTTATAAAATTTTCCCTTAAGTTTGAGGGGTACTTTTCTATCACGTAATAGGCCCGATGTATTCCTCCACTTTAATCATCTAA